TATATATAATATAAAATTGAGAATGTTGTGTCACAAATTTAGGATATTACATTTTGCATGTTATTCCTTTTGTATTAACGTGATAAAAGTCTTCAATTTTGTATGTGTAAAAAAAAATGTTTCAACAAGACACAAAACTTTAAAAGATTTAATTTAGAGACATCAAATATACAAAGTTATATTAATACATCTATTATGTTAACAAAAAAGAAACAATGTTACATAAAAATTAACCATAGGAATTAAAATGATTAAATAATTAAAAATATAAGGACTAATTTTTTTTTTATTTTACTTTATAGACTAAAAAGGAGAAAAAAATTATGTAAAGAAATTAAAAATTATATTTTAAACTATAAAAACTAAAAAGTAAAATAAATGAAATTATAAGAACTAAAAAAATAGTTTTACATTTTTTTATATTATCAAATATTACATCACTTAATATAGAAAATTTTTAAAATTTAATAATTAATAAATAGAAAGATTAAAATTTTATATTTTTATAATTAAAGATACTGAAACTCTCTATTTTAAAGTAGAATGATTAAAATTACAAGTTAAAAAAATGAGACAAATTCAATTTAATCTTAAAAAAGCACACAATTTCGTTTCCAAAGGAGTGTCTTTTTTATACCGACTCATCATAAAAATAAAAGTGTAAGAAACATGACATGATAACTTCTATATAAATAAATAATAAATAAATCCGAAAATAACTTTTCAAAACGTGTAATAAATATAAAAATTATGAAACAAAATTTATAATTCTCATGCTTATATAGCCGAGAATGAACATTTAATCCTGGAGATAAAATATTTATAAATAAATAAATTTAATAAATAAAAAAAACCACTCTAGAGTAGAAAAAAAAAATTTAATAAACGAGAAAGTGGCAGAAAGTAATAAGTACATAACGAACGTACAAGTCGAAACTGTGCGTTTCAAATAAACCGGGTTGACCATTTTGCTCGGGCGATCACATTTTGTTCCTCAATTAGGTTTTTTTTTTATTCTCAGAGTTGCATTTGGGTCCAATTCTCGGCACTTGCCACCGTCAATCCTCTCTACAAAACACTTCCATTCGGAGAATCGCCATATGGTACGATCATTCGGTTCCTATAGCTCTATAAACTCTTTTTTCATGTTGCTGTTTCAGGAATGGTTTATTAAATCTGTTACCTTTTTTTTCCATTTTTATTTTTTATTCCAATCAACTATAATTCTGGGAACTAGGAAGGGTCTACGGTATTTGCTATACAGGAATCATCTTGTTCATTATTTCTCGAATTCATTTCGCCTAATTGGAAATTCTGTTATGGTGTTTATAATTCGTGTGTGCATTTTTTTTTTTTGTTAATTATTCATATGTATCATCGTGGTTATTTTGCAACTATTTTGGGTAAAAAAAAAAAGTAAATTAAAAGCTGTTTTAGATAGCCCTAGGCTTGTTGTCAAGGCAAAGAAGTTTTAACTGTTGAAAGAATGAGGCAAAAGTTGAATGTTAGGGCTAATAAAAAGTTGAAAGATGATTTACTTAGCTTGTCGTAAATATTTGTCAATGACCAATGTTCAAAGTTGGTTATGGTGTCCCATTGCGTGGTGCAAATTTCCTATTGGCTATGTAAAGATTTGTAGCAATGCATGAGATATGTTGAAAATTTGGATTTTGATACAAACCAGGGGTTTCTGTTGATCTGTGCTGTCAACTCCTCCTTGTGGAATAAGGTTTGGATACCTTTGTTACAGTTTATTTAGCTTGTCATCTGTGGATGGTTGCAGTAAATGCCCTCCACTAATCAAACACCATATCAGTATTCTGAACCTGGAACCTGTATCTTTATTTTTGCATTAAAGTAGTGCATGGCATGTTAGAATGTGATTATCTTATCTGAAACAAGCCGGGAAGTTACTGTTTGCATGAAAATTAAACTTAACTTCTTTTTTTTATTTTTTATTTATCCGCATCCAATTTTTCACAGATGTCCTTCTTGGAGCATTTTCTTGGTGATGGAATACAATTTCCAGTACTAATTTTACATTACAAAGCATCTTTTTCAGGTCTGATTCATCAACCAAGTCTTTCGGTGGCATATCAAATTACATTAGAACTAACTAGACTGCAAAACAAGTCATACTTATTGACTCTATTTGGCAAAAATGACAGAAATCCTTAGCTACACTGGTTCAAGACAGTTATCTCAAATGTTCCTTGCAATTTTCTTCTTTCACAGTTCTGAATTTTTTCTAGCAGCTGTCATTCATGGGAAATCAAATGTAACTCTGAAGTCTCTTTTGATTAGCAAACACTATGTTGTGGCAATGATCTTTTCGTTGCTGGAATACATCATTGAGATTGTTTTAGTACCCGAGCTAAAGGAACAGTGGGTGATCAGTAATTTGGGTCTGGCACTGGTTGTGATTGGGGAAATTATAAGGAAGATGGGAATTTTAACAGCAGGGAAAGCCTTTACACATCTTATAAAGATTTATCACGAGGATCATCACCAGCTGATCACTCATGGTATATATAGATATATTCGACATCCGGGGTACTGCGGTTTCCTCATTTGGTCTATTGGCACTCAAATAATGCTTTGCAATCCTATATCAACCTTTGCATTTGCAGCTGTTGTTTGGCGCTTTTTTGCTCAGCGCATACCTTATGAGGAATACTTTTTGAGGCAGTTTTTTGGAGCACAGTATGAGGAGTATGCCCAACGAGTTGGGTCAGGGGTGCCATTTGTGAAATGAAGACCGATCAATTCACTGAGCTAAGCCATGTCCTGCTACATCTATTCCAAAGTAATCAAGGAAGTTCGAACTATTTTTCTCTTGAACAGTTTTGATCTGTGCTTCACATTGCTGGAGGTATAAAGTGCGTGCTTGCTTTCAGCCTGTGGCTATACCAACACATCATTTCATTATTATGCAGCGGTGCTTGTGTGGAGCCATCTGAAAAAAAAGGAAAAAAAAATGCAGGGTTGAATTAGACGGTGATCAGTATTAGGTTTCATTGTCTGGACCAGATTGTTACATTTTATTCATGGGGCTTCTAGCAAGTCTAATGGTTTCACCGCCAATGTTTCTGGGATGCTCTGAACAGGCATGCTCAAACAAGTAAAATTTAGCTCAGCTACTATTTAACTAGGATTCTGTTCTGCTTTTGGCGATGTATCTTGCTTCAACATTTGCACTCTTGTAACCTTTCATCAACTTGCCGGAACAAAAATACTGAAATTCGAGAAATAAAGTGTCACCACAATGAACAACAGATTGCATATAAATGTTATTGGAAATAATATCCCATTTCAGAACAAGTGACAACTTAACACAAAAAAACATTAAGTGATGTTTTAAATTTTCATTGAAACATCATATTTTGTACTTCAATTGTCTTGAAAAAATAATTAATGCGATGAAATCAGTCTTGAGATAGAGAATAAATAATAAAAATAATTTATTAAATTCGTCTCACCTAATAAACTATTTGCTACTTTCTGTTATCGTCAATTTGACATATTTTGAAGGAGAATTGTTAAACTATCAATTTAATATTTCGCCTAATTCTTTTGATTAAGTTCAAAATATAGTTTCCCCAATCTAAGATTTGATGAAATTCGTGATAAATTTATAGTTTTCATTAACTTGTTTTATTTCTTAGTTAACGAAATTGATGAAAATCAATGAAGCTGACATCACGGTAATGTTGGTACAACCGGTGTAGCTATACAATAAAGAAGAAACGAGAGGCGCAATTCTCCAAAGTGTGCTTAAAACACCAACTCACCAATCTCTATAGAAATTGGATGCAATACAATGTTCTAACGTGTCTCCTTCGAGATACGATTGAGTTCCTTGATATTTTCTGCACCTACATCAACTGTATCATCAATGACACATTATAGAATAATAATTTCCTTAATACTCTATGCACAAGAAAAGAAGGAATTGATTTGAATACGATTTATTTGTTATTTATTTTCTGAATACAGATTGAATTTATTCATAGGCTGTCTCATGCCTGATATAATCTTTTAAAAAGATACATTTCATGACTTCAAGTGAATTATTACATATTTTGATTCATGGTGAAGTGTCGCATTTCATGATTCTTTGTAAATAGACAAATAACATCTTGAAAGGAGCCTTTCATTAATTTTGAAAATTCTTCACAGGTAGCCCATCCTTGGTATGCGGCATCCATATTGAGTAAATCATAAAATCCTTGGTTGATAATCCATAATTACGTATTATATCTATTTGAAAAACACATTTTTTGTTGCATACACCAACAAATATTATCTTCTCGGCCATGGAGTCGAATACATATTTTGCAATTTTCACTTCATCAACTTGGCAATACCCATGCATCATGCATCATAATATTATAAGTAACAAGGTTAGGTTTCACACCTGCTTTTACCATTAAATCTAATACACTTTTAGCTTTTTTCATATTTCCTTCCTTACACGAAACATCAACCAATATACTAAAAAGTATAAACATTTGGGTTGATGTTTTTCAATACTATTTCATCAAACAAATTTGTGGCTTCCTTCAATTGACCCACTATGAGTAAAGCCGTATATTAAAGTGTTGTAAGTAACAATGTTAGGAGAAATTCCTCTAACAAGCATTTCCAAATATAAATGAAGAGCATGGGTTACAAGTTTTTCTCTACATAGATCATGAATAATGGTGTATATTACCTCATTACAAGTAACAAATTGCCCCTCAAAATCTTTCTCATCAACCGCACGACAGCTCTTGTCTCTCGAATTTTACACAACCCATTGATGAGTGTCCCATAACTAGGTCCAACTGAAACACTTGTGCTACCTCGTGGTCGTGAAAGTGCAGTGCTTTTATAAAGGTAGCAATGTCAGGGGGAACTCCCCTGAATTCCAAATGATTAGAGAGGGAAATAGCAGTGGGATAAAGCTTTCATCTTCACAAGGGATGCTAAAATCTTATTAAATTGAAAGATGGGAGGGGTGGAACCGCAGTTTGAGCATGCGATTGAATTAAAAATGAGTGGAGTTTAATGAAAGAAGAAAATGAGAAAGAAAATTGGAAAGGGAAGTGAAACTTCATCCCTGAACAGCACCTAAATAGATACTGTATCTATGTTGTCTCTTTATCTGTCACCAAAAAAAATTCTCTTTTATCTTATCAGAGCATCTCCGGTGGGGGAGGTTGCTTATAAGCAACCCCCAATGTCACATCATACCACATCAAATTTATGGATTGTCTAGTGCCACATCAGATTTATGAATTGCTTAAATTTTACACATCAAATTTATGGATTGTTTAGTGCCACATCAGATTTATGAATTGCTTAAATTTTACACATAAATCTGATGTGGCATGATGTGATATAAGTAACTCTCACTGAAGATGCTCTTAATGTATTATTACCTTGTCTTAAGGGACCTGTCAGAAAAAGTTTAGGCAACAATGTAATATATACTTGGGAGTAGAAAAAAAAATCAATTAATTAATTCATTTATATAATTGTCTTCTTAACTTCTTAATGAGAATGCTTTGGGACGCAAGTTTACAAAACTTAATGGTTTTAGACTCTTATTTTCAATTTTTCATGTTGCAGTGAGTTTCATAGTTATTTTTCATTTTTTCTTATATAGTACTTTAAGATTGTTCATTTTTATAAGAACTTATTGGCTACCATATTGTATCTAAATAATTTTAAGGCGAGAATAAGCATTAAGATAAGATAAACAGAAGTATAACTTAATGCATTTACTAAAAGAATACCTTATACTTCATATGTTAATTATGTTATCATTGTTAATTTTTCATCTTAAAATAATATGTAATTGTGCATGTAGAATAGATTGGATCAATTTTGGAAGAAAAAAATCATTTAATTCAATCACCTTGATTTTCTTAATTCATTGAATTGATTAAGAATAAAATATAAATCCAATATCATACAATACAAAACAATCAGATTATATCAATTTTCAATTTGTCTTACTTTTTAATTTTCTTTAGAGTATTAAATAAATAGTAAGATATATAATAAATATAATAAAGACAGTTAAAATATTAAATATCTCATTTACAGTTCAAATAATAAATAATACTGTAACGTTTAAAATATATACCATTAAAATAGATATATTAGTAAAAAACATGACCCATGTTAGAATGTTTGAGAATTTTCATTTCATAGTTGACAGAAATTGAGAGTATGCTATCAACGTAGCCATTCTTGGTATGATATCCCTATGAATAAATCATGAAATCCTCTGTTGATATTTAGTCTCTATTTGATAAACACATTCTGTAGTATCCATTAACAGATATTGTCTATTTAAATAAAAAGTAAACTTCAACCAGATTGGCAAATACCTGCTATACAACAATTTTCCCTGGTTAACAAGGGAATCTATGATACAATACAATTATGCCAGTAGTTTCAATCTTCTCCAGAAGAAAAAGCATCAATTCCAACTCCATTTATGGGCATATATCCGATGGTGTAATAGCTAAGTCTGAGATGTTCACGATTAGAAGATGAACCACTAGAGCATGTCTAGTAGTGAAAGATTCAAGTAGAATGCTCAGAATTTTTCATTAATTTTGATAAATAAATTAATTAATTAAAAAAATGACAGATCAACAGAAACTACAAGGCTGACAATTCAACTTCTTGAGAGGAAGGACGGTATGCCACAAATGTGCTGTCAATTGCGAAGGAACCTGTATTAAAACAAGTGATTCCGGTGTACTTGAATGCCTTCTGCTGACTTTTGTCACCCAACACTATCTGCACCAAAATATCACACACAAATAAATATCTCAGCATCACAACATTCTCTCCACACTTTTGAGACATCAAATATAATAAATTAAATTAGTCATTTGTACATGTCAGATTACTGTCACCCCTTTCTAGCGTGTTTTTTTTTACAAATTAGTTCACGGTCTTGCAAAATGCCAAATACAACAGAAAGTGGATATAAGATTCTTATTTCTTTCCAGTTTTGGTTGTAAATTTTGGTTCAAAGTTAAACTGTTTAGGTTATAACATTACTTAAAATATATATATATAGTGACTCAAAGATAAACTGAATTTACCTACTGCATTCTAATGAAACCACCAATCTATTAACTCCCATAAAGATGAAAAATACAAATTTAGTATTAGAGATTCAACCATTCAAGAATTGCATACAAATTTAATCAGCCACCCTTCTTGTGTGACACTTTTCCTAAAAATTAGAATATATAAGGTATATCTGGATAAATTTATCCACATGTATTTCCAAGAGAAGAAAATAAAAAGAAAAAATGAAATACACTACCTATGCATAAGTTAATTTATAAAAGCTCTTTTATATTAATTTTTCCAAATTATGTTTTTATAAACTAATTTAACTTATGAAACAGCTTCTATTTCATTTCTTTTCATCTTTTTTCTTTTTCCTAAAATGATTATAATTTCGTTTATCCAAGATTCTAAAGAGACTCATAGTCAGAATGCATAATAGCTTTTATATTCCCAATATGATTCAAACATCTTTACCACAAAAAGAAGAAGAAAAATTCAAATAGAAGCAGTACCGTGTGTGGTGTTGGATAAAGATGAAGACAATGATCATAATTCCAGATGATGGGTTGTACAGTTAGAGGGAGTGGACACAGATGACTCTGATGTGTTATGGTAGCAACAAGCTGCAATTCAAACCCAAAATCCATTAGTTTTCTGATTCTAAAATCAAGTATCAACTAAATAAAGTAGAAAACAAACAAGAGGGACAAATTACATGCTGAAAATGATCATCAGTTTCTTCTGTAGAAGGAGGCATCAAACAAGAGCGACGCATTCTATACAGCAAATCCTGGCGAAAAAATACAATTTCTTGGGTATAGAATTTGATCCTGCAGCCAAACAGATACAATACCAAAAGAACAATTAGAATCAATCGGCTTCCATAACTATAAAACACAAAATGTACAACTGATGATGTCCCGTGCTATTCTATCTAAATGCAATGTTAACCTGCAGGGGTTACTATAAAATATGGCATTGGGAACGTGCTTTCGGAGCTCCTCAGTTAAATATTTCGGTAGAGCACACATAGGAAGAACTGTTGACGGAACTGAAAAAAAAATTGCTGAAAGTGATGATATAAATCTTGAGGAAGTAATGAGGAAGCGTGGGTAATTATCAACGATGTCAATACCTGCATCATCAGGACCTGGAATAAACAGGAATTTACTGTGCGCTGTTAGCCGTGGATGGGCGGCAATCATTTCCCCCAGCTTACCAAACTGCATTCTACATATAAAGGTTTATAATATTTTTTTAACCTTACACAACAATAAAATATCCTCTTTTAAGCAACAAATAGTGACAATGTTGTTTGTTAGAACTAATTATACTAATAATTATAATGACATGTAAAATAATGTGATCTGATCCCAGCGCCTAGTTCCAGACTTCTAGTTATCATTGTTAATGAACGAAATATAATCATAGCAAGTGGAATTCACCTGAGGCTCGAATAAGAATGAAATGCGAGGTTACATGGTCGAGAAGAGAAGTTTCCCATGAAAACAAATAAGGAAGGGACCACTTCCACACTTTCAAAACCATCCAAAACAGTCTCTAGCTTTCTCAAAGCCTTCTCTACGAAAAAACAGCACCAAGATTAAATCAAGCCACATAATAATAACAGGAAGGAAAGAACAGAAACAAATCAACATTGCAAATTACCTGTTCATTGTCTAGCCAAATATCAGAGAGTACAACCAACCTGTCATTGATTGCCCTTTTCTCCATCTCTGCCAATCTGATCTATTACAAAGGTATAGGAAAAATACATCCAAGTATGATACCAAACAAACATCAGGTTTTGTAATTGTTATAATAATAAACTTGTGCCAGCTGAATATGAAGAAGGGAATGGTAAGGATACAGTTTCCTCTTTGGTAAAAGTACCACAACCAAAATAGTCATGGCCTGCAAATAGTTTAAGTGACTTATCTCTATCCTCCAATGGAGGAAATCCACATGTTAACACCTGCAGAGAAAAAGGATGCACCAATTATGCAGATATCAAAGTGATGACAAAAGTCTGAACAATTAGGCCTAAGTTGACAAGATTAAATCAACTCCAACAAGACCAAGAATTTAAGCAAAATTTATCAAAACTTTCTGGAAAAAAGCTTATAGTCATACAAATCAAATAACTGATATATTGGTTTTATAAAATAAAGATCATGTGATGCAGATATTGAGAAGGACATGCTAATGACAACCTGAAAAATACCCTCCACAAGCATCTCCCCTTCGACCACAACAATAGTGTTCTCTGTAAAGAGTCCTGTAGTTATCTTGTATGGCTAGTCAAAGAAACAGATGATAATAGATCTATGCTTACAAAATAAATTGAGCTATAGCATACAAAATAAGAAACATAAATTATAAGGATAAGACAAATGTATTTTAAGCACCTTTTCAGGAAGGAAATGTAATTTACTCTAAAACATTTCATGCAATTACGTAGCTTCTAAAAAATAAATAATTGTCAAAACACTAAAGGATATTGCGTTGGACAAGCTGATTTTAACAGCAGCCGTAAGGTCTTCCAGATAGTAATGACCATCCTCCAGCTGAGATATAACTCCCATTACCCATCTTCTACCTGGTTGTCCAACCAGAGATTGAATAGGAGATATCTGACACATCATTGGATAAAATTAGATATTAATTCTCCTATGTGTTTGGATGAACAATGCTCAATCATTGCTAATATCCAACAGACTAAATGATTAAAGTTTATAACCAACTAGATCATCCACAGTACCTCACAGCTCCCAAAATGTGAAAATTCAGATTCAAAAGCAGGCTTTGAAAAATGCTGGTCACGAGAGAGCCTCTGGGACAACAACAGAAACCTATCCCTGTACAGAGCCGCTTTTGCTGATGCTTCTCCATGAATAGGTAAGCTGCCTGTATACCTGGAAGGAAAACACAAAACCAGCATGAGCCAATATTTGCATCATAGGATAATCAAGTCTTAGTGCAAGACAACAACACAAAAATTCTAATAAACTTCTTAGCCAGAGTATCTCCTGAAAATATAAAAAATCAAATTAAACTTTTGTGCTCATGAACTTTTTGCTTATAAAAATAACATTACAATACAACCATCAAAAAAAGAGTCACAGAATACACAACAAAACTCAACATGACATTGATCTCCCTAGCTTGGCTACATTCAAACCACGAAAGCTTGGTACTTTCTAATTCAAGCCATGGGTAAAAATTGGGGAAATTACAACAATATCGCTATGGAGAAAAATATGAACAACGAAAAATAAAATGCAACCTTTTGCATGGTATATATATTTTAGCAGCAATCCTATTTTGATGTTTTTTTCAATTTCAAAAAAAAAAAAAAAACTACTATTAAGCATTATTTATTTCATACAAAACTTACATACAGTTCTTTTTTTCTTTTATATATAACCAGGTTAAAAAGTTGACCTCCATCATACATACAATAATTTAATTACTATTGGTATTGTTCTCCTATAAAAAATAAAGTTTCAGTTCAATAAGCCAAATTAATTTTTAATGCATACTTTTTTTTATGCAGATTACCAAGATAAAATTCAATTCAAATTAAAGAACAATAAGTCAGTCACTAAGAAATTGTATCTAAGTTTTGCCATTTACATCACTTACTACTCTGCGTTGAGTAGTCCTTAGAATTCTACTTCTTTTCTATCAAACCACGCAATATTTCAGTCCAACCTGACAATGCGTACAAAATCAAGTTGGCTTCAAATTCAACAACATTCACAGACTAGATGAAGAAACTTCCGCCACTCCAATTTCCAAAGAAAAAATTAAGCAACGGAAAATATAGCCGAAATGAAAACCCTTACTGGTAGAATTGTTTTCTGACGACATGGTATTTATACTTGGGAATAACAAACGCGTCAATGAAGCGAATGACAGAAGCAGCTTCCTCCGGCGTTGCGTCTTCTTCCAATAACAGAGTCGCCACACGGACCACCATCTCCTTCTCGATTATGGTGGATTTCACTGTGATGTGTTGAATGCTTGAGAAAGTGAATCGAAAACGAAGAATTAGGCGAGAGAAGGAAAGAGAGAGATTACAGGAATATTCAATCTGGTCGAGGAGGAGATCGATGGCTTCGTCTTCATCGGAGCCTGGAAAGTTAGCGGCAAAGCTGAGGATCTCGTCGAGAGCGTCGACTGTGAGGGTGTGGCCTCGGATCCTACATTTTTTCTGAATCTTTCTTCTGGTGGCAGTAGCAGTGTTCATCTTCGCTCGCTAATCGCTATCCTCTCCTGCTGAGTTTCCGTGTAAAAATAGCGTACAATGAGTTTAGGTTTAGGGCGGGAAAATTCTCTGTTTAGAAGAGACAGCGGTAAAGTACAGGAAACCAAAACTTGTTGAGGACTATCTGTTAAGTGTTAAGGCCAAGCAAGCCCATTCCATTTATATATATATTTTTTAAGATCTTTATAATTACTAGTTGGATCGTATTTTATTCAAATATAAAGCAAAATGTAAAAAAAAAATTAATTGAGAGATAAAATGTAAAAAAAAAAAATTAATTGAGAGAGTAGACTCAGTTTAATATATTACTGGATATATATATATATAAAAATCTAAAATATATATTTAATATTGGTTACAAATAATTATATTTTATTTATTTATTTATATTTATTGGATAATTATTCTCACTCCTTATTTTTTTTTTGTTATAAAATTAAATTAATTATAATGCAAAATATATGGATCTTCCCAACATACCCCACCCTTTTACTTCGGTTATATCAGAAGTATTCTTTGGCACGAATTGGAGCGTTGATGCAGTTGTCAATTAATTCAGTTACCTTTCAAGGTGTAGGATTATCAACTTTTATATTTACTCCAAATCAGGACATTCTCACCGTTATTGATGGCCCTGTAGTAGTTACCTTCTACCTACCTCCAACCAATCATGTTAACCTAATAGTAAATTTATTTCAACATAATTAATGTAATTATTATAGTAGAAAGGTAAAAAAAAAAGTTTGTAAGTAATCATGCTATTGTATATACTTTAAAGTAGTAAGTAATGTACATAGTTTAATTAAATGAACAATAGTTCATGAAATTTTCTTTTGTTCTTATGATAAATATTATCAATTTTAGAGTTGCATTAATAGTTTATAAGAAAAATATTATTTTATTATTAAATTTAGAATCATAAAATAGGCTTTACATTATTCTAGTAGCCAATAGTGACATCAGAGCAAAAAAAAAAATACAACTATACAATTTACCAACCTTTACTAAAATACCATTACCTTATATTCACCAAAAAAGTAAATATTGGTAAATTGCAACATATTGTTAGATTTGTCAAGTGAATATAATATTGAAAAATCTGAAGGAACCTAAGTGTAATGTATACTTGCAATTAGGTTACTTTTGAAAAGCACATAGAAATTAATGGTTTTTTCGAATAAACTGACAAATTGTTTACTTGTATTTTGGTTTATCGTCATTGTTCCATAAGGTAGTACTACTATTCACGACAAAAGTTGCACAAGTTGGGGAAAATATTAGAGAGAAATTATGAGATAGAAAAGCTTAAAGCAAGGTAATTTATCCTTGTGAAAATCGAAGATAAGGGCAATGCTGAGCAAAGATAATTGTTTTGATACAATTGAATAAAAACCTGTGGATAGAAATAAATGATAATGTTGGTATCTATTTGCATTTAGCACACGGCATGACTTGAACCTGTGACCTATATTTTATGGTTTCTATGCATTATAGAATAAACCATTAAATCATTCTATTTTATATATATATGTTAATATATACTTTATAATAAGTTGTTATGTAATTATAATAATAAAATAATATAATTTGTATGAGGGGGTGATCAGAGTGTCGCCGCAGGAGTTGAGCGCGAATCTTTTTGTTTTCCGTGCGTAGAGTCGCTAGGTCAG